GCAAAAAGCTAATTTTATTTTGTTGACCAGGGTCAATCACCAATAAAAGGTACTTAGAATTAAATTATATACACGAAACTTGGAACGAAGTTATATCCACATGTATTCTACACGTATGTTAAATTTGGTAACGATAAAAATTTATTTACCTATTTTATTAACTAAAAACCGCCCAAAATAGCTCATTTTATTTTGTTGACCCGGGTCAATCGCCTAAAAAAGGTACTTAGAATTAAACTATATACATGAAACTTGGAACGAAGGTATGTCCACATGTATTCTACACGTATGTAAAATTTGGTAACAATTAAAAAATATTTACCTATTTTATTAACTAAAAACCGCCCAAAATGGCTCATTTAATTTTGTTGACCCGGGTCAATCACCAATAAAAGGTAGGCTACTTAAAATTAAACTATATACATGAAACTTGGAACGAAGGTATATCCACATGTATTCTACACGTATGTGAAATTTGGTAACGATACAAATTTATTTACCTAGGCCTATTTTATTAACTAAAAACCGCCCAAAATAGCTAATTTGATTTTGTTGACCCGGGTCAATCGCATAAAAAAGGTACTTAGAATTAAACTATATACATGAAACTTGGAACGAAGGTATATCCACATGTATTCTACACTTATGTAACATTTGGTAACAATTAAAAAATAGTTACCTATTTTATTAACTAAAAACCACACAAAATGGCTCATTTTATTTTGTTGACCCGGGTCAATCACCAATAAAAGGTACATAGAATTAAACTATATACATGAAACTTGGATCGAAGGTATATCTACATGTATTCTACACGTATGTGACACCCGGTAACGATAAAAATTATTAACCTATTTTATTAACTAAAAACCACCCAAAACTGCTATTTTTATTTTGTTGACCCGGGTCAATCGCCAATAAAAGGTACTTAGAATTAAACTATATACATGAAACTTGGAACGAAGGTATATCCACATGTATTCTACACGTATGTAACATTTGGTAACAATTAAAAAATAGTTACATATTTTATTAACTAAAAACCGCCCAAAATGGCTCATTTTATTTTGTTGGCCCTGGTCAATCACCAATAAAAGGTACTTAAATTAAACTATATACATGAAACTTGGAACGAAGGTATATCCACATGTATTCTACACTTATGTAACATTTGGTAACAATTAAAAAATAGTTACCTATTTTATTAACTAAAAACCACCCAAAATGGCTCATTTTATTTTGTTGACCCGGGTCAATCACCAATAAAAGGTACATAGAATTAAACTATATACATGAAACTTGGATCGAAGGTATATCTACATGTATTCTACACGTATGTGACATCCGGTAACGATAAAAATTATTAACCTATTTTATTAACTATAATAAAATAGGTAACTATTTTTTAATTGTTACCAAATGTTACATAAGTGTAGAATACATGTGGATATACCTTCGTTCCAAGTTTCATGTATATAGTTTAATTTTAAGTACCTTTTATTGGTGATTGACCAGGGCCAACAAAATAAAATGAGCCATTTTGGGCGGTTTTTAGTTAATAAAATATGTAACTATTTTTTAATTGTTACCAAATGTTACATACGTGTAGAATACATGTGGATATACCTTCGTTCCAAGTTTCATGTATATAGTCTAATGCTAAGTACCTTTTATTGGCGATTGACCCGGGTCAACAAAATAAAATTAGCAGTTTTGGGCGGTTTTTAGTTAATAAAATAGGTTAATAATTTTTATCGTTACCGGATGTCACATACGTGTAGAATACATGTAGATATACCTTCGATCCAAGTTTCATGTATATAGTTTAATTCTATGTACCTTTTATTGGTGATTGACCCGGGTCAACAAAATAAAATTAGCTTTTTGCGGCAGTTTTTTGTTAATAAAGTAGGTAAATATTTTTTAATCGTCACCAAATTTAACATACGTGTAGAATACATGTGGACATACCTTCGTTCCAAGTTTCATGTACATAGTTTAATTCTAAGTACCTTTTTTAGGCGATTGACCCGGGTCAACAAAATAAAATGAGCTATTTTGGGCGGTTTTTAGTTAATAAAATAGGTAACTATTTTTTAATTGTTACCAAATTTTACATACGTGTAGAATACATGTGGACATACCTTCGTTCCAAGTTTCATGTATATAGTCTAATGCTAAGTACCTTTTATTGGCGATTGACCCGGGTCAACAAAATAAAATTAGCAGTTTTGGGCGGTTTTTAGTTAATAAAATAGGTAAATAAATTTTTATCGTTACCAAATGTCACATACGTGTAGAATACATGCGGACATACCTTCGTTCCAAGTTTCATGTATATAGTTTAATTCTAAGTACCTTTTATTGGCTATTGACCCGGGTCAACAAAATAAAATGAGCTATTTTGGGCGGTTTTTAGTTAATAAAATAGGTAACTATTTTTTAATTGTTACCAAATTTAACATACGTGTAGAATACATGTGGACATACCTTCGTTCCAAGTTTCATGTATATAGTTTAATTCTAAGTACCTTTTTTAGGCGATTGACCCGGGTCAACAAAATAAAATGAGCTATTTTGGGCGGTTTTTAGTTAATAAAATAGGTAAATGAATTTTTATCGTTACCAAATGTCACATACGTGTAGAATACATGTAGATATATCTTCTTTCCAAGTTTCATGTATATAGTCTAATTCTAAGTACCTTTTATTGGCGATTGACCCGGGTCAACAAAATAAAATTAGCAGTTTTGGGCGGTTTTTGGTTAATAAAATAGGTAAATAAATTTTTATCGTTACCAAATGTCACATACGTGTAGAATACATGTAGATATACCTTCTTTCCAAGTTTCATGTATATAGGCTAGTTAAATTCTAAGTACCTTTTATTGGTGATTGACCCGGGTCAACAAAATAAAATTAGCTTTTTGCGGCGGTTTTTTGTTAATAAAGTAGGTAAATATTTTTTAATCGTTACCAAATTTAACATACGTGTAGAATACATGTGGATATACCTTCGTTCCAAGTTTCAAGTACATATCTACATTCCAAGTGTTTTTTTTTCGAAATATATTGAATTTGTTGACCCGGGTCAACAAAATAGTCAGTCCCAAATGTATTCAATGTAGTTATTATTTTATTAGTATCATTATTAAAGTTTATTTTACTGCACTGTAATATAGATCTTTCTTTATAATTATGTATTTTCACAATAAATTTTTCTTTGCTACAGTAGGTACTATGTTACGTCATGCATCTATAGTCAATAAACACTTTTTAGGTGTTCATTTTACATGTTTAACTACACAGTAGTATTTTTTTTAATATGATCCCATTGGAGTACCATAATGAAATTTGGCACATGCACTCTAATAAGAAAAACAAAAAACATATTTTTTCCCCAAAAAAATTAAACATTTCGATTTTAAGATTTTTCAAAAAAACTTTTTTTGGATTTTTGAAAATTTTTATTACGAAGCTAATATAGTCAAGTGACATATCAAATTGTAGCTCTTGAAATCCTAAAGAGAATGGTGAAAGTTTGAACTCTCTAAGTTAAATGGTTTTGTAGGTAGAGGTATTTAAAGATTTCCAAACGCGTCAAAAATCGGCCGATTTTTAGATTTTCAAAAATTTATAGGTAACTCAGAAACAAAAAGTCAAAAAAATCTAAAACTTGGTATTTTTCATATTCTCTAATAGGCATAGTATAACTTATAAAAAAATTATCATTGAATTCTGTGATTTCAAGTTCCAGACCATTGGTTGATTTCATATGGAATGACCCGCGTGGGGATGGACACACACATATATATATGTAATAGATGTATATATATACATATATAAAAATGTGAACGAATGGTGTTTTTGGCCTCTGGGGACATCAAAAAAGTAAATCGGTCCCGGGCCTAAGTCTTACCATGAGACCTACGGTAATAGCTACACTTCCCTATTGGGAAATTCGCTAACAAGGGAACTGACCAAGACAGCAAAGACACTAGACATTTAAGGTAGGTAATTTAAAACACAGAGGATACGCGTCCGGTAACTGGACGTGGATTAGGCGTCCGGCAGTAACATCACCGGGTTGTGCGGGCTGGGAATGCCATTACCACAATCATACGATGTATAGCCATTGATGTTCGTGGTGTAGTGGATAGAATGCTCGGCTGATATGCAAGAAGTCAATGGTTCGAATTCCATCAGTAACTTTAACTTTTTGTCAAAGATTTTGCTTTGAATGCCATTTCTTCTTAACTGTAGGCCTACATCTTCAGTTAGAATTTTTGGCATTTATAATTTTATTTTATGATTAGAATTTAACCTTCATTTGATTTTTTCATTACCAGCAAGTTTTGTTGGTTCGGTTAGGTTATGACAGTAACTGCCAGACGCTTAATCCACGTCCGATTACAGGACGTTTAGGCCTATCCTCTACGAATTTGAAGGGTACAGTTTCTTAACTGGGCTACGCTAATATTGATTGAAACTATCGAATTGAAAATATTGATTAATAATCGATATTTTAAAATATAAGTTATCTATTATAAAATTAAACTATCATAACCTAACCTAACCAACCAAACTTGCTGATGGTGAAAAAATCGCATGAAGGTTAACTATAATCGAATCGATAGTTGCAATCAATATTAGCGTAGCCCAGTTAAGTAACTGTGTCCAATTTAAAAACGTTTTATCAAACTAGGTAGGCCTATAGGTTAGGCCTAGTAAACAAAGATGGACAAGAACGGAATCCAAGATCTAAGAAGTTGTATTGGATATGAGGAAATTAGGCTAGGTTAGTTGTATGCAAAAATGTTAAAGGAAACTGGTAGATTAACATTATTCATTATGAAAAGCAGGAGGTTGTATGACAAGTTAGGACCACTGTGCCTACTCAAAATTAAATATGAGGTTGAATGGTCCTAATTTAAATAAAATTTTATTAATTAAATGAAGGGAAGTACAAGAAAGTATTGATGCCCAATTGATTACTGTACCTTCACAAGAATAATTGCGAGCCAACAAGACATTGCAAAATAATTATTGTTTATTATCTTATATTGCAAAACACAGGGAGTAAAATAGACAGACAGCGATGAGTTCAGTAGAGTTACTTTAACTTTTATTTAACTTGGCCATGTTTTTTTCCCCTCTAGCTTGCTTAGAGGGCTTCGGTTTAATATACCAGGCAGCCTCGATGTAGACATACTGAGTTGTGATTGCTTCCAATTCATCCTGCAATTAAGGTTATTTGTTAGTTTACAAACATTTGTTATTGAACATAAATCTTGGATACTGTTTGTGTATTTAATATGCATTCATGTTTAAAAAAGTAAGCGATCAGCTGATTTTGCGGCCCTAGGGATGTAAGAACCTGCTCGGTCCCCAAATGACGATGACTGGCATGGCCGGCATGGCCAGCAAAACGTAATGAAATGAAATGAAATGAAATGATGAAATGAAATGAAATGATATTTATTCGTCTATAGACATTATATAAATGCATGAGACACAGTCAAATTATATAAATACATGCTGGTAGAGGCACAAGTCAAGTTCAAGCAACTAATAGTAATAATAAAGAATTATTACAAATCATGCAAATAAATAATCATACAAAAGCAGATAAGCTATAGACAGGCTGAAAATACATGCAAGGCTGGTATTAAATAATCATTTGAGGTTATGTCATTGGTTGTAGAGCAAAAAACTCATCAATCTTATACAGGGGGTTTCTGACAAGCCATTCATAAATTGCATTCTTAAAACTATTGTAAGGGAGTTGAATTATTCTTGGCGATAGTTTGTTCCACAACTTGCTACCCATAATAATATGGCTTCTTTTAATCTTTTCCAGTCTTGTAAAAGGAATGTCAAGGTTTTCTCTTTTCCTAGTGTCAAAGCAATGAAAATCACCCCTTAGAGCAAAGGTTTCATGCAACTTAAAACTAGATAACAATACATTATAAATATAAAGGTTTATCACAGTCAAAGCATTAAAGTTAATAAATAATGGTTTACAATGTTCATTTTGATCTTTGTTAAATATAGTTCTAATAATCTCTTTTTGGGCAACAAGAACATCATTGATGTGGTAACTATTTCCCCAAAGGATTATCCCGTAGCTTAGAATTGACTGGACAAGTGCAAAGTAAACATTTTTGAGATGATTTAGAGGCAGAAGGTTCCTTAATTTTCTAAATAAAAAAGTAAGCCTACTTAGTCTTGTGCATATATGTTGTACCTCGGAGTTCCAAGTTAGTTGGGGATCAACAATTACTCCAAGAATCTTAACATTTGAGTTGTTTTTTATAGTTTCCTCCATTTGAGGTATAGGCCGCAAGCTAAATAGCATAGACTGTGTTTTGTCCTCGTTGACAAGGAATTTATTTGCTGCAAACCATTCAGAGGTCAAACTTAGGCTACTTTCCACTGCAGCTACAAGCTGCGTTACATCTGCACCCTTATTTAGAATGGTGGTATCGTCTGCATACAAATATGCTTCACAGTTGAGGCTGAAGGGCAGGTCATTGATGGCAATGAGGAACAGGAGAGGACCTAATACTGAGCCCTGAGGTACTCCACAGTTAGTGGATAGGACAGAGGACCAGGTATTGCCTATGCAAACTGCCTGTCTTCGATCAGCAAGGTATGTCCTGAATAGGCTGAGGCTCGCACCACGGATACCATAATACTCCAGCTTTTGGAGGAGGATGCCATGGTCAACACAATCAAAGGCCTTGCTTAGGTCAATAAAAGTGGCCCAAGCAGCCTCTCGACTTTCAAAACAATTGAAGACTGTGCGGACCATGGCATCGATGGCCCCCGTAGTAGAGCGTCCAGCCCTGAAACCAAATTGTTGTTCGTTGAACAGAGCATGATACTCAAAAAATTTCTCACCTGGTTATAAATCACATGTTCGACTACCTTAGCCAAAGTCGGTACCAGACTGATAGGCCGATAGCTCTGAGGACTAGCTTTATCCCCCTTTTTGAAAATCGGACAGATCTTTGACAATTTTAAAAATTCAGGAAAGTGTCCTTCCTGAAGACAAGCATTTATGCATACTGTGAGAGGGAAAACAACACAGGAGGAGGTCTCTTTGATGAACCAGTTAGAAATGTCATAAATATCTTTTGTTTTTGAGTTTTTCATTTTCCTAATTACCGATAGGACTTCATCACAAGTTACATAACCAAACATGAAAGATGCATTTGTTTGAGGTACACTCTTTAGAAAAACATCAAAAGAAGTATTTACACTACTTATCTCAGATCTAATACTAATTACAGAGTCAATAAAACCTTTATTGAGATCATTGGGATGCAAGGGAATGTCAACTTTTTTTGTACTACCACCAGAGTTCTCTTTTACAATTTTCCAAGCAGTTTTGCATTGTTTTGCGAGTTCTCTATTACCTTGGCATTGTGTTTTAGCTTGGCATCATTGATTGCTTTTCTATAGAACTTCTTAGAATTTTGATATTCCAACTTAAGGGTAGGACAATTATTACTAGACTTAAGGTTAAGGTATTTAAGATGAAGTTGTTCCTTGAGCCTGAATAAATTATCATCAAACTGTTTCAAGACTGTAAATAAAACATATGTTTTATTTAGGATATTATATTATTATGATCAGATGTAAACAAATATTGTTATTAGTGTTAGAGACTTCTTACAAAAGACATGTTCAAATAAAATGTTACCAATTTAGATCATTCCTGAGTATTATTATCACGAGAAGTATAGACGGTCGTGATACATGGCGCAGTCTGATGTAAACCTACAGATCCAACAGGAAATTGAAGAGAACAGACTTCAAAGAAATCAAATCCATGTCAAGCCTCCAGACAATTTTTCCTTCAACCCCTATGATTGGAGTGCGTGGAAGAAACGCTTTGAAAGGTACAGGTCAGTCAGCGATCTACATAAAGCACATGGGAAAAGGCAAGTTGACATTCTTTGCTACTGTATGGGGGATAAGGCTGAGGAAATATTTGATTCCTTTAATCTAAGCCCTGATGAGTTGGAAAATTATGAATTGATTATGGGAAAATTCGAAAACCATTTCGTTCCTAAAACAAACATAATTTATCAGCGTGCTAAATTTCTTAGACGAAAACAGGGATCCTCAGAGTCTGCTGAAAATTTCATCACAGACTTACATACTCTTGCAAAACCATGCAACTGGGGAGATTTAAGGGATGAAATGATTCTCATGCAACTTATCGTTGGAATGAATGATCAAAACCTTAGTGATCGCTTACAGTTACAAAGCTCACTAAAATTAGAAACTGCAGTTGATGCTCTTCGCAGTTCAGAGGCATTAGTTAGGCAAAAACTTGACCTAGCTGATCCCTCCGTTGATCGGGTAAAATTTACCACTCCTAAAAAGTCTTTTTGTAAGAAAACAGTTTCTAATAACCATGGAAAATACAATCCAGAAAACCTATGTAAATGGTGTGGGAATACTCCATCCCATCGCCGAGGCTTGTGTCCTGCCAAAAACGTTCGGTGTTGGGTAAAGCAAACGGTCACTTTGCTAAAGTTTGTTCTAAGCAAAAGGTTAATGAAGTCAGTAGTGAACCACAGTTTGTTAATCAATATTGTACAAATTCATCAAATTCTGAAGAATTCATAGGTAAAATTACTGAAAACAGTGCTCTAAACCCTGAATCTTGGGAAATTGACCTCAGGTTTAATGATTCTGACATTATTAAGTTTAAAATCGATACTGGAGCAGACGTTTCAGTTTTGCCAGCTAATATAAAGCTAAACAAAAAAGTTCCATTACAACATACGTGTAAAAGACTTTCAGGACCGGATGGGACTCAGTTAGCTGTACGAGGGATGGTAAATGTAAAGTTAGACTATAAGAACAAATCTTGTTTTGAGCATTTTTATGTAGCAGAAAAATGTAAAACACCACTCCTAGGTAAACCAGCCATTGAAAAACTAAACCTTCTACAAGTTGTCCGAAGTGTGTCTTCAACTTCGACAAACTGGTACGAAAAATATCCATCTCTTTTCAGTGGTTTAGGTAAAATGAACGGAGCTTATGAAATTGAGCTAAAAATGGGAGCAAAGCCATTCTCAATTACAGTGCCTCGACGAATACCTCTACCATTATGGTCAAAAACCAAGGAAGAGGTTCAAAGAATGGTAAATATGGAGGTCATAACTCCAGTAGACCATGCTACACCTTGGTGTTCTCCGATGGTCGTCGTACCAAAGAAAGACAGCGGTAACGTCCGGATATGTGTTGATCTTTCGAAACTAAACCAAAGTGTTCGGCGCCAGTTACATCCAATTCCAGGGATAGAATACACAATAGCACAGATCAAAGGAGCTACTGTGTTCTCTAAACTAGACGCCAATCACGGGTTTTGGCAAATACCTTTGGAAGAAAAATCACAAGATCTCACCACTTTTTTGACACCTTGGGGACGATTTAAGTTCAAGGTCCTCCCCTTTGGCATTACATCAGCTCCGGAGTATTTCCAGAAACGCATCCATGCTGCTCTTAGTGATCAAAGAAATGTAAAAGCTTACATTGATGATATCCTAATATGGGGAAGCACACAAGCCGAGCATGACAAGGTTTTGGTGGAGGTTCTGGAAAAGCTTCAAAAGGAAGGCATTACCTTGAATAAAGAGAAAACAGTCTTTTCAAAGCCAAAAATTAAGTTCCTTGGCTTTGAACTGAGTGCTGATGGCATTTCTCTTGATCAGGAGAGAGTTAAGGCTATTTCTGAGATGGAGCCTCCAACTGATGTGAAAGGTGTACAAAGATATCTTGGAATGATCAATTTTAGTGGAAGATATATTCCAAATAGGTCTGAGATTTTGAAGCCTATTCACGAGCTACTCAACAAAAATAATGAATGGATATGGGACAAACCACAACAAAAAGCTTTTGATACTATCAAAAATCTTCTTACTACGGCTCCTCACTTAGCTTTCTATGACCCTAATCTTCAAACAATGATTTCATCTGATGCATCATCATTTGGTATCGGCGGAGTATTGTTGCAACGAGAAAAAAGTGGCACATTCAAACCAGTAAGCTACATATCACGTTCTCTCACTGATACAGAAAGAAGATATTCCAACATAGAACGAGAAGCTCTGGGAATCGCCTGGGCATGTGACAAGTTGAAAGACTACATAGTTGGTAAGGACATAATAATCGAGACAGATCATAAACCACTTTTGAAGATTTTGACGTCAAAAAACTTAGATGAATTAACTCCACGTCTACAGAGAATAAGACTAAGAATGATGCGTTACTCATACAATCTTGTGTATACTCCTGGAAAACACCTAATAACAGCTGACTGTCTTTCACGTAACCCTCTAAAGGACACTGAAAACTATGACTTAGAGGAGGAACTCACTTACTACGTGAGACAAGTCATTTCCAATGTTCCAACTACTGATGAAAACATACAGAAAATCCTACATTGTCAAAGACAAGATCCAATTTGTATGAAATTACGGAACTTAATCATTGATGGTTGGCCAGAAAAATCTGAAATTCCAGATCAATTAAAGACATTTTTCAACGTAAAGGAAGAACTTTCTGTTGCTGATGATCTTGTATTACGAGGAACAAGAATATATGTTCCAGAAGCATTGAGAGAAGAAATGCTAAAACGAATCCATGTAGGACACTTGGGAATAACAAAATGTAGACTCCGAGCCAGCAACAGTCTTTGGTGGCCAGGAATATCTCGTGAGATTGCAAAGATGGTTGAAAGTTGTCCACAATGTATTCAGCACAGGAAAAATAAAAACGAACCACTTATTCCAGCAGAGTTCCCTTCAAGACCTTGGCAGATTGCAGCAATGGATCTTTTCAAGTTAAGTGGTCAATGGTTCATCGTGTTAACAGATTGTTACTCACGATACTTTGAAATTGCAACCTTACGTTCTTTGACAAGTCATCAAGTCATTGAAAAATGTAAATCAGTATTTAGTCGTCATGGAATTCCAGAAGAAATCAGAACCGACAGCGGAACCCAATTCACCATGCGTCAAGGTTCGGAATTCCAGCAGTTTTCCAAAGACTACAATTTCAAGTTAAAGACAAGTAGCCCTCACTTCCATCAGAGTAATGGAGCTGCAGAGGCTGCAGTGAAGGTAGCAAAATGCATCCTAAAGAAAAATAAAGAAGACCCTTACCTGGCACTCTTATCATACCGTAACACTCCAATATCGAACGGGTTTAGCCCTGCACAACTACTAATGGGACGACGTTTACGAGACAACCTACCAGTTTTGCCAGGACTTTTAACAGAAAAGCCAGATTTGAGTGGCTTGAAACAAAGGGAGAGGAATTATAGAGAAAAGTACAAGAGAAATTATGACTCCAGGCATGGTGCCAAATCTCTTGGAAGTTTGAAATCTGGAGACAGCGTTTGGATATCTGACGTGGGAAAACCTGGAACGGTTGTAAAAACAGCAACTGAGCCACGATCATATATTGTCAGGACTGATACAAGAGACCTAAGAAGAAACCGTTTCCATCTTCTACCATTTCCCGATGACTTGAAAAGTACACCATCACGAGACAATGTGACAGAACAAAATTCAACAAGTGTCTGTACCAGAAGTCCAAAACCACAAGAGGACAACTCAAGTTACAAGACTAGACACGGACGTCAAGTACATCCTCCAAGGAGACTCGACCTTTAAGGAGGGGGATGTTTCAAGACTGTAAATAAAACATATGTTTTATTTAGGATATTATATTATTATGATCAGATGTAAACAAATATTGTTATTAGTGTTAGAGACTTCTTACAAAAGACATGTTCAAATAAAATGTTACCAATTTAGATCATTCCTGAGTATTATTATCACGAGAAGTATAGACGGTCGTGATACACAAACCAACTATGTTTAAGTGTGTTCTTGTTATTCTGAGGCTTAGATCTAATCAGTGGAAAACACAAAGCAAACTCATGCATAAAAGTGTCAAAAAAGTTTTGAAAAATGTTACCTGGTTGTAGTGTTCCAAGGGTAGTCAATTCCTTTGTCCAATCAGTGTTGAGCATTTTTGACTTAAAAAGTGTGAGATTGTGTTCAGAGAAAGGCCTTATAAAGGTATTCTCGTCTGTATTTACAGGCTCAAGGTTTTTACATACAATAGCAAACAGAGCGAGTCCATCATGGTCCGAAAAGTGACAAGGAACAACAGAGGTGGAGAGGTTGTCGCTGCCACAGTTTGTGAACACGTTGTCAAGGCAGGCGTTATATCTTGTTGGTTGGTCGTTGTGGTGATACAGGTTATGTTGTCTTAATAGGTTCAGGAGTCTGGTGACCGGAGTACTTGGCTTGGTAACGTCGAACTGGGCATTAACATCACCACCAATTATAATTTTGTAATTGGGCCATTTTGAGATAAGGTGGAGAATTTTTTCCAGGTTTTCAAGAAATAGCCATACACTGCTATCTGGTGTGCGGTATATAGAGATAAGAATAAGCTTGTGCTTACTTATAACTACAGCACACGCTTCAATAGACTTTTCAATGCAAAAGTCTGAAAGGTTAATTTCACAGCACTGAAGTTCACTTTTGGAAAAAAATAGAGTTCCACCTCTGCTAGAGCTATCACGGGCAAATTTACTGACTAGATTGTAGCCCTTAAGGGTGCAGAAGTCTACATTTATTTTAGATATCCAATGTTCAGAGAGACATATAAAATCATAGTTATGTTGCAGTGACATATCTTCTAGCAAAGTTTGTTTATCACCATAACCTTGAATATTTAGAAACAGGAATGTTAGGACAAGCCTATTTGTAGAAAAGTCTTTACTAATGTTCGATGTGATATTGAGTTCTAGGCCTAGGTCATGATCATTACCTAGGTTGTGGCAGGGAGACTGGGGCGCTCTTCGTTTAAAGAATTGCTAGTCTCATTTACAGACCCTGAGTCAATATAAGTCCTTCTTTTGCGTTGAACATAGTTAGATATGAGAGTACCAGCCGGCCAAAACTCACTGACCAACACTTTCTCAGCATCCATGGGATACAGACCGACTTTAAAAGACTTGTAGGACGTGTATCGTGTAGGTAGTTCTTCACAGTCAGCGTTTTGTATATTACTGTCCATTAAGTAGGTTTTAAGATCATCACAGCACACACCAGGAGAAAGTCTTGAAACAAATATCCATTTCTTCCTCTTGACGACTTTGAGGTTAGAAGAACCGCTCATTCCCTTGGTTCCGATGATAGGTTTATCTTGCTGAGACTGACCTCGTAACTTTCAGCCACCAATTAACGCATGTAAAACAGCTAAAAACATCATAGTGTGGTGAAAAGTTATTAAATTTGTTGATGCAGCATGCAATATTACCGATTATTTTTCCACAAAACCAGCTGACAGGGCATGTATTGGCCATTGAGGTGATATTAGTGAGGTCGGGGAGTGCGTTGAAAAATGGGAGCGGGAGGGGCGGCGGCAAACTTTGTTGCCTAGAGGCGGCAGATACTTAAATACGTCTCTTCATAAATATGCACAATGTTTCATGTTGATATTGTTCTAGTTTTTGTTAATGAACCTAATTATATATTCAAGATAGGATAATCTAAAGGTTCAAGGGATTCTTTAGGATGGTCGAGATAGATGATCTTCTTTACCAGGGCCCCATCAGGCATACCTAACTACCCAGAAGAGAAGAGGAGGGTCACGGATTAAGAAACCCAAGAGTGGACAACATAAATGTGATTCTAATAGTGTTTGTGTTTCTTTGTTCTTTTATATTGCTTTTCCTATTTCCTTCAAATAATTGTTCATTTCCTTGTAAATATGATCATTTCCAGATTTCAGGGCTTCTTGTAGGTTGTTTCTATACTTCCTATAGTTTCTTCAAGATGTTTATCTCTGAAATAATTATTATAATTTGGGCAGTCCCAAGTTTTGAGTTTCGTAAAGTAAAGACCATCGTCGCCGTCCGTCCATACGACCATCGACCGTCTCGCCGCAGTAAAATTGCTTGCCTTTTTTTGGAACTCTAGGAACATAATCTTAGGTCTGTGGCAAAGTTACTTCTTGCTCATTCTACTCATAAGATACTGAATAACTGTAACAGTTACAACAAGAAGCATTCCGTTTCCTTAAAGCTGGGTTTTCCTCATATATATCTATGGTTTGCCTAGGTGCGGAAGCGGAGCGCGGAGAGAGGAACGTGGAGAGCGGACTCCTCTTGTCTTAGGTAATTTAATGTTACTGTTTTCCTATAAGTGGAGCGGAATGCCATGTTAATCACTTTTCCGCTCTCCGCGCTCCCCTTCCGCGTCGAGGAAAACCCGGCTTAAGTAATTTATTTATTTTAAATCATACTACACATAAACACGTACCTATTCATCCGTATTGATAGGCTGGAAAGTTGCCCTTTACCGTGCCTAAACACGGAAAAGTAACGTTATGTACTTTTACCGTGCACTGCACCACGGCCGTCTTTAACTCTTACGGTCACCTTTAAAACACGTACCTATTCATCCGTATTGATAGGCTGGAAAGTTGCCCTTTACCGTGCCTAAACACGGAAAAGTAACGTTATGTACTTTTACCGTGCATTGCACCACGGCCGCCTTTAACTCTTACGGTCGCCTTTAAAATCCAGGACGCGGCCTTGTAGAATAGACAACGTCACAAGTAGGGTTGTTTTAGTGTCAGACGTCCAACAACATAACATGACAGACAGAAGGCATCAGATCATTTATCCGCACATTATTGATTTCAATTAAATCTATGAACATAAACTTATTAATATTGAAAATAAAACATACAGAATTAAAAACCAAAACAATATAAATTGAAAATCTATATCTGTACAACTTAATGCGGAGTCAATATTTTCATAGTCCAGTAACCGGCAGTAACCAAGCTTTTGTAATAGCTATTTACCTTACAAGTATAGTAAGAGCGTTTTTACATCACGCAGGTGAATGTTGTGCAACGAGCGGAAGCGAGTTGCATAATTTACCGAACTGATGTAAACACGCTATTGCGTAACGCGTAACGTACAAGATTTTACCTGACCCGACAATATACAGGAGGTTACGAACAATATTTTTCACTATCCATTTCACTCATCTTCTAACAGTAACGGTAACGTTCATTTACAAACACAAGCTAGGTTAGGAAAATTCTTCAAAACATTTTTTTCATCGGTATTTATATTACAATCTGTTCAAACTTCAAATATGAGAACAATAAGTAAAACCATAGACTAACCAACACAAGGGTTTATGTACCAACTAAGGGAGTATGTTTTATCTATGGTAAAACATATATCAAACAATGTCAGGAAGCAAGCACCTGTTCTTCAACAAGTCTTTCCCAAAATTTTTTTTATTAGTAAACTTTTTTAATTTCATTTCATTATCAGCAAATTTGGTTAGTTCATTTAGGTTATGATAGTTTAGTTTTATAATAAAAAATTATAAAATTGAATTTGTGGCATTTATAATTTTATTTTATGAATAGAACTATTTTTGCGATTAGTAGGCCTCAACCACGGCCGCCTGTAACTCTCAGGGTGCCGTGTTTCCCCCGGACGTGTTTGAGGCGGACAGTGCGTGAGGCGGACAAAACTGGTTCGGGTGGGTAATTGAGCGGACGTCTCCCTGCATCTACCCGGCTCGCGGGGAATCCCCGTTACCGAATCGTCCGAGGAATTATCGCGTTTTGCCTCCCAGCGCCCAGTTCTTTCAAACACACCTAAACTACCGAAGCAATAAAGCTCTGATTTTGTAGGTTAATAGCTAAGAGACTATGTTTTATCTATAATTTCTAATAACCCAATTACAAGTACCTAACACGTAGGCCTAGTCACCTCTGGTTACTCCCCGTGGACGTCCAAATTTTTAATGTTAACATTTTAGAAGGGTTAGACAAATCTTTAAACTCTAAAATGCTGTGGAATCTTCAATTTAAATTTAAGACGTGAATAGGTCTATGTGTTAATTTAGGATTTGTTGATTTATATGTTCAGGGTTTGGCGTTACCGTACTCATCTAAAATGTCGACACGTTTAACACGTGCCGCGGTCATTGCCACAGACCGAAGTATACATTTGCATCTTACACATAGACCGGCTGTCACTTGGATAACAGTACACACAGACCACGGGCAAAACCCTGTAAAACAGTGATCATTTACATTGTAATACGCTACAATTGTGTTTGTGAATAATTTATTCTTGGCTGTTTCTTTGTTTGTACTTTTTATAACCTTACACCTAAACCTTTTTATACAGAAATTGAGATACACGCGTTTTGGCTTTCCTATCGTAATACTCGTTCCATACGATGAAACTAACCGAAACATTTATGATTCTAAGCAGTGTACAGACAAAACTCTAATTTTAGCGAATTTCCTATATAGGGACTAAGCAAAAATTCACCGTAGGTCTCATGGTAAGACACATGTAACACATGGTAAGACTAGACCCGGAACCGATTTACGTTATCGTTTTGAGGATAACTAGAGCAAAAATGATCCGATTTTGATGACATTTTGGCACAAACGTGTAAACCTACGTTTATTCGAACGAGTTTGCTAACCAGTTTTATGGGGTGAAAATTGATTTTTCCTATTTTTGACCCCAAAACACAATTTTTTTTAAATTTCTCTCCAAACCATATTGTAGAGCTTAAAAAATAAATAATTTTGTACTCGTATATTG